TAGCTTTTCTACAAACAAAATAAATTTAAAAAAAATTATTATTCAAATATAAATTAATCAGCTCAACGGTCATAACTATATCTACTTTCAGCATCTGCAAGGATGTCAAGATCACCCACAATAATTATTTTATCTGAACTGAGCACTAAATCAGAAACTCTGAGTAAGGGCTATGTGGATGATAGATAATAACAAATAATTTATGTGTTGTGAGTTTAACAACTGATTTATGAGAGTTTTGACAATTAGGGTGGATGAGGCTAAGTATCAGGATTTCTAATGAATGAAAATTCTGTCTCTCTATGGTTGATTAATTAGCAAGAGTGGAAGATTGCTGCTATACAGACTGCAGCACACTGCATCAGTGTGCTCTAAAATCATTGGCCTGCCTGTCAAAAATCTGGCACAGGTTTTCAGCCAACAGGCCCTTAGACAGGCAGCCAAAATCATCAACGACCCCTCTCACATTCTTCACCCCACATTTCAATGGCTCCCCTCTGGGTGACGCCTCCGCTGGTTAGTTAGTAGAGTTGCCAACGGCTCCTTAAAAAATGGAATGGTAATATTAGGCATTTCGTATTAAGCTGAGAAGAGACGCAGTTTGTCCCGTACTTCAGCTAGAATGAAAAAAAGACACAAAGCTGGAGTTATTCTGTGTGTTTACGCTGCACAGCTGCCTCTTCTTCTCTCATTCTCTAGGAAAGTTTTGCCAGGGGGCCAGGTGGGGCATTAACAGGGAAAGGGGGGCACAAAGAAATACTTTTCTTTCTTATTCTCATTTAAAATATCTAGCTCTTATTAAATAATTATCTGAATCTTGCAAACAAAAGTTTTATCTGACGTAAAATGTATAGAGCAGCATAGAAAGTATTTACTTGCTTTCAGGTTTCATTCAAATGTTAGTCTTTTCATTTGTTTCCCCACTTTTTTCCTTTTCAAAATCAAACACCAGTTTGTGAGAAGATTATCTTCTTTTTTTAATAGGCAGATAAAGTTTTGCATTGGCATTGGCTAATTTGCAAATTGTATGTTAAAAATGTTCGTATTTTAAAATTCAAAACTGTTTTTGCCCAAAACATATGTGCGCTATATGTCAGTAAAAATACTATGCAAATATTGCTGTACTTGAATGCTGAATAAACACCAACAAAGCACTGATTGTATCTCTTGTACTTTATCAATGCAGTATCTAAAACCTTTGCACCGTAGTGGTTAAAATCTCATTCTAATAAGAGTTAAAAGTGCGTTCGGTTATTAGGTTTATAGGGTTATTGAATTATGGTTAACAGTTGTTAAGATATTTTTTTAACATTATCTGCCAATTACATCTGCCACCCTTCTCCAAGTCTGTGCATCTACCTGCCCCCCCAACAAAAATTTTCTAGACACACCACTGCCTGGAAGACATGTGACTGTGGTTCTCGCTGTCTCGAACTTCACGTTTCTCAAAGCAGCATCGCCAATAATCAAAATAATATTTACCCCACGGGGTGTGTACAGGGAGGGGACGGGGGTGTTTAGACTACAACAATATCCAGCACTGTTGCAATATCAGACTTTTTTAACTGATTGTACAGGATCCCGTGGCTGATTTAAAACAACAACAACAACAACACTTTGACTACAAAACGAAGTATTAACGAAGGACTACATGAGAAAATTTGAACAGCTCACCATGACAGACTCCAAACATCATCAAAAACAATCCAACTACAGCTTCCATGTCTGCTCACTGTTGATCCACTCGGCAGCTTTCAAAATAATTAAAAACAGACGCGTGTGCGGCTCTGAACTGAAGCCAAGCGTCAGTGATAAGCCTCGGACAACGGGTTTTCAAAGAAAGCTAGTTTCAAGTCTTATTGAATTTCTGTTTATCCTTTCATCTGCTGAGAGGATAAAAGGAAGTGACAAGTTCTTGTTCCGCTTTTTAGTTTGACGAGAATAAAAATATATCGCTATTAACAGGGAGGAAGAGAACGAAACATTCGTCATTTATTTTGAAATAAGTCTCAAAACTGACAGATTACGTCAACGAGAAAGAGAAATGCCTACTAACAGATATGTGGATAACAAAATAAGCACAGGATCAATTGTGGCTTATATTTTTCATCTTTAAGCGCAAAGTAAAAAGTAAAAACATGTCAGTCAGCATGGTGAGCACTGAGTGAAGAATATGTTTGCAGGAATATAAATATATAATATAAGTACAGCTTGTAACATACTATTATTTACATATACATATGTAGCAAGAGTGTGCTACATAATATGTGGTAAAGAATAATGATACTGCTTCACACTTTATTGTTGACCAGTTACACTTTTATTGCCTTTTTTTAGACATTATTTTTATTGTTGTTATGATTTAGTTTATTAGTTTTATTGATGTAGTCCCCAAAACATCAACATATGCAATTTCAAAGGACGTGAAAAGGGAAAGACCATCTCTTCACCTACTCAACGACATATAAAAATCTTGCATGAAACAAAGATTTCACATTTTGAGTCATCAGTCCATAAAACTGCCTTCCAGTCTACAGTAGTCCATCAGCTGTGTTTCATGGCCCAGGCAACCCTTTTTTTTTAACTTATTCTGGAATCTTATAAATGGTTTTCTTGTTGCAACTCGACCTGTCAAACCTGCAACTCAAAACCTTCTCTTTACAGTCAAAACCGAAACTTGCTTACTATAATCACTATCAAGTTTTGAAGCTGTGGTCTTATTAAGTGTCTCACACAAGCTATTGACTTTCAGAAATGTATCTTCTGATTCTGTGTGGTTTGAGGTCTGCAGACCTCTTCCCCTCGGAGTGCCTCTTGATGGCAAAGGAAACTGCAGGCTGACATAATACTCACAAGGGAATGGTACCACAGCATGTTCCAACACTACTTTTACAAAAGCCTCTATCTGTAGGAGCAGGGCTGTAAGTAATCAAGAAAACTTTGGACGCATGTAGGAAATGGTAGCACAAACTTTCAAGGCTTAATCCATTTCCGTTGCTGCAGAACAGCTTTAAGTTGTTATACATAATGTGTAGCAAGAGTGTGGTACATAAATGCATGCCCTTGTGGTTAAAAAAAAACAGAAAGTACTTCTTCAGACTTTAAATTTAGTTTTATTTATGTAGTCCCACAACGCAAGATATGTCTTCTCAGAGAACTTTAGCCAAGGCCCTTTTATATACAGTGGCTTGCAAAAGTATTCAGTCCCCTTGAACTTTCTCACATTTTGTCACATTACAGCCACAAACATGAATCAATTTTATTGGAATTCCACGTGAAAGACCAATACAAAGCATACCACATCATCTGTAAAAAACAGCGGAGGCATGTCATGGCTGCCAATGGAACTAGGACACTAGTGTTTATTGATGACACAGGACATACGCAGCCGAATGTATTTTGAGGTGTTCAGAGACATACTGTCTGCTCAAATCCGGCTAAATGCCATCCAGTTGAAGTTCTGTTGCCCGACACTACACAACATAAAAGCGTGACCCTTTTTAACTTGATTGTTAATGTTCGACTCAGATGTTATTTCAGTTCTTTAGCTCCTTTCCTCTAAAGTTTTTGCTCTCCCCTTTACCATGGTCTTTTTTTTCTTTGACTATTCCTGCTTTTAAGAACCAGAAATAAACATTTTTGTTACCTCTTTATTCACACACTGAAATCACATTGTAAACTATATGGTTTATTATAAAATGCAACACAAACACACCAAAGGGTGTAAACAAATGTGTCCTTGTGCACTACATATGACAAAAGAAAAAAGAACAAGAAGAAGAAGAACCTAGTCCTCATTTGCACACCTATAAGGACACACAGCGAATTTACAGCAGGTGAAAGGTGACACTAGGTGTTGGAGTAAGGACTCATTTCAGTCATTAAAACAGAGTTGTCTGGAGATTCCATCCTTTGTGGAACAGCAGAGCCTTCCAATATTGTTTTTTTCTTCCAAGTGAAGTAGATCCAAATCCCACTTAATGATATAATTACCACCGCAATTACCACTGCTTTCAAACCATGTATGAACCAGGAAGTACCTGTGTAGAGACACACACATATTTCTGAAAAGTTAGAGCTGTGAAATAAAACACACTTGAGAGTTTTCACTCTTGCACCATATTTTACAAGACAAATGTCACAGTCCTCCTCTGTATCCTGTTTGTGTGCTGGTGGCTGTGTGTGTATTCTCTCATCCCGCCTTACCTTACAGGGGAGGGATCTGCCAGGATCCCCATCCCCATATCAGATGCACCTGAAACACTCAAGCATGTGTGTGAAACATCTGGCAATGACCTGACTCCTATTTCAGCTGGGATCTGACCTCTAATCTTTTCCTAAGTGTTGTTTAACTGTGATAGTGAGCTCCTCGCTGATTTGCAAGTCCTTTTCCCTGTTATATTCACAGATATTTCTAATGTGTCTCATGCTGTCTATATAACGGTTCAGCAGAGCCCTGTGAGAGAGTGTGTTGCAGAGGAGATTCTGTACAGGAAACTGAGAAGACACTCAGATTCACAGAACTTTCTTTCTGTCAGAGTTTGTTAATAAGAGGCTTTTGAACTTAGAACTTGTGAAATAATTTGTAGCGCTTGAATTCACTTTAGGGTGATGAGGGCGATTTATCTCTTTTTCTTTTCATGTGTTTGGTTGGATAGGTTGTTACTGACATCTGGTGAGAATTTCATGTCAATAGCACTTTTAAAATTACATTTACTTAGAAATTTGGTGATGTGTTCAATACTTCTTTTTACACACTGTATATATGCATATGAATTACCAGAACAATGTTAACTTTCAATCTAGTAATGCAGGGAAAAATTACCTTGAATAAAAATCTGTAAAGTCCGCTCAGCTGATATTTTTCCATCTGAATTAAAGGTCAAAAAGTTATATTTTCCGCTGTCTGTACTGCTCAGGTTATGTATCCTAAGTGTTCCATTACTGGGGTAAAACAGAAATCTTTCATCTGTCGTATTATATTTAGAACTGTTGCTTCTCCTGAATTTTATTACTGATGTATTCTTGGACAGTAGGAATCTGAATATTTCTGAGGTGTTGTCCGTCAGTTTGATGTCCAAAGTTCCTCCCAAAGTTCCATAACAATGAGCTCCATCTGGTCTGCCGTCACAGTAACTTTCCACACCTGTAAATAATAACAATAATAAATTTAAAAAAAGATATCACTAATTTCAGTGTTCAGTCGCTACCAGAACATTTATGGCAACATTTCCAAATGTTTACCTAAAACAGAAATAGTGCAACCTATCTCAGGTCACACAAAGTGAATGAGCATTACACAGGTCTGTGACTAAACCATAGCGAGGCTACAGCCAACTATTTCCTAATCAGAGTGAGTCTTTTTCATAACAAACATTTAAAAATTATGGGTTTCATGTCCAAATAATAAAATGACAAGACTGAACCTGATATGAAAGAAGGTTACTCTTCATATTGCCTTATCATCATAACATCATGACCTATGTAGATACTTAAGACAGACCAATTTAAAATGTCAATAGCTTAAATACAAAAAAAAAACATAGCAAGAATGAACAATTTTGATCATTTGATGTTTCAGGGAACTCCTCACATTGGTCTAGTTAAAACACTAAAAATGATCAAATAATGCAGAGTATTTGAATTACACTAACATAGTGTCTGTAAAATGCAATTAAATAAGTAATTGAGGGATTTTCCAAAACTTAAATGCATTAAATAAATATTTGAAAAAAGGGTACGCCTTTCATCCTATTTTATTATTGATATTATTATTCAAATATAAATTAACCAGCTCCAACAGTCATAACTATATTTACTTACAGCATCTGCAAGGATGTTAAGATCAACCACAATAATTATTTTATCTGAACTGAGCACTAAATTTTCTGGAGTGGAAGATTGCTGCCACACACCACGTGGACCTGTGCTTTAAGGACACTGTCAGGGCTGGACTGGGACAAAATTTGTGACTAGAGACCTGCTCACCAGGTATTATAGGAAAAACCATAAAGCCTTTGAATGAAAACAAACGTGATATATACTGTCTTGTTGGTATATATGTATCAATCTAATAAACTTAAACCTACACCACCCTCCCTATTCTGGTCTTCTAAACAGTACTTAGCCGAAACCCAAAGACTGCTTGGTTGAGTTAACCTCCTGAACGATCTACAACACATAGTGGAAACCTGAAATTAGAAGACTAGAGGTGAAACTTGATCATTACTGAATATTAAAAATAATAAATGACAGATTTAGTGATATTTTCATAAACTATTTATTTACCACATAAAAAAAGGAGCATGGCAGGGCAAAATATTTTTTCTAACATGGCAACCTTTAAAAAGTGAAAGAAGACAGCATGAACACACAGAATAATTCCAGCTTTGTGTCTTTTTTTCATTGTAGCTGAAGCACAGGACAAATTGCGTTCCTTTTCACCGCAATATGAAACGCGTAATATTTTCTCTACGAGAAGATTGCGTTCTCTAATAACTAACCTTATGAATAAAATAAAGTTTACCATTAGTAACATCGTAGCACCCGCCCAGCAGTATAGAAACTCCGTCATGCTGGCTAATACGCAGTGCGAGTTATTGTTACTGACTGTAAAAAGTTAGCACAACGAAAGTAAACTAAACTTGGTTTATATCTGACCCAGATAGACTGCAGGTCATAACTTCTCACCTGAAGTTCAGTTCCGCTGATACTCGGACCAGCGGTGAGGCAGGAGGCCCACCTGCTGGCCTCCACCACTTGCTAATGTTATTGAATCTGTGGAAGCTCTGCTATAGCCACCACCAAACAATTGAGTTATTTCTACACATCTGCCAGTATCTGGCCAATCCACCACCTTTCATTGTTTATACCGTTACGAAAAGAAAACCCATAAAAATTAAAAATCACAATCGGCCCACCTGGCAAATGCCTGGTATGCCCGATGGCCAGTCCAGCTATGGACACTGACAGTATGACCCGAGGTTTTGATTCATCTAATAAACTAAACATTCATCCTGCTGCAACCAGGTAAAAGGGACCTAATGTTCAACTTATCCACATTTAACTGTTTTACTCTTTGGTGGAGCTGCGGACCCTATAATGTTTTGTTGTTGCTGTTGTTGTTTTTTTTATTTTTTTATTTTTTTATTTATTTTTTTGCTTTAAATCTCTTTTTATTTTTTGTCGGTCTCTAAGGGGATACCAGGAGGCGAGAAGTGACGCTGCTTCCTGGTCCCAACTCTGTTTAGCCACGTTTTGAGGTTTAATAAATTTGTCAAGGTTTGGAGAAATGAGAGTTGCTTCATCCAAATTGGGATGGATCCCCTTTCCCATAAAAAAAAGACCAGGTTTCCCCCACAAAGTTTTGCAATTATATACAAAAAACATATTGTTTTTTAGGGCACCACTCGGACAGCCAGCAATTTTAGAAAAACTAAGATATCCTGTACTTGTTTGACTTGCTGGTAATGGTAACAAATGAACACTACAGAGTACAACATTGTTTTACCAAAGTTACACAACCATGCAATAGTTTTGTCACCTTCAATTGACTAAACCAGATCTCGTTACCGCTGGCGTCAAAAAAGATTTTACCGTTAGCCAAGCAGTTTTAAATTTCCCTCACCGTCCCCTGCTCTGGCACCTGGAAGACAATTGACTGTGGTTGCTGATGTCTATAACTTCACGTTGCTCAAAGCAGCATCAGAATAATAATTCCTCTGCAGGTGTGTACCGGGGATTTATTTAGACTACAACAATGTCAGACTTATTTTACTGATTCCCATTGCTGAAAACAACAACACATTGACTACAAAACGAAGTATTAACGAAGGACTACAGGAGAAAATTTGAACAGCTCATCATGACAGACTCCAAACATCATCAAAAACAACCCAACTACAGCTCCCATGTCTGCTCACTGTCGATCCACTCAGTAGCTTTCAGAATAACTAAACATGTAAGCAGCTCTGAACTGAAGCAAAGTGTCAGTGATAAGCCTCGAATGAGAGGGGTTTAAAAATATTTTTTTTAAAAGCTGGTTTCAAGACTTATTGAAGTTTTCTTTATTCTTTCATCTGCTGAGAGGATAAAAGGAAGTGACAAGTTCTTCCACTTTTTAGCTTAAAGAAAACAGAATTATGTCGTTATGGTCTGAGAGTAAGAGAACGAAACAATCTTCATTTATTTTAAAAGGAGTTTTGAATCTGAGATTATGTTAATAAGAAAACTGTGTTACTGTATTAAAGAGAAATGATCAGTTACAGATATGTGGATAACAAAAGCACAAGATCAATTGTGGCTTACTTTTCATCTTTAAACACAAAGTAAAAAGGAAAAACATGTCAGTCAGCATGGTGAGCACTGAGTGAAGAATATGTTTGCAGGAATATAAATATATAATATAAGTACAGCTTGTAACATACATTTATTTACATATACATATGTAGCAAGAGTGTGCTACATAATATTTAGTAAAGAATAATGATACTGCTTCACACTTTATTGTTGACCAGCTACACTTTTGTTGCCTTTTTTTAGACATTATTTTTTTATTGTTGTTATGATTTAGTTTATTAGTTTTATTGATGTAGTCCCCAAAACATCAAAATATGCCATTGCAAAAGGACTTTACATACAGACCAGACGCTTTCTCTTACTTATTTGACGTATGCTGTTACACACTGAGGAACCATCCCTTCAGCATGAAACAAAGATTTCACATTTTGATTCATCAGTCCATAAAACTGCCTTCCAGTCTACAGTTCATTGCAATTTCTGTGTAGGAAATATTTTTAAATGTTATGATGGTCTGTCTTTCTTCTAGGGTTAATTTCCTTTTTCTTGCCATTTTTATGGAAACACATGATCTTCTGCTGTACATTACAGTTCAAATAATACTCACAAGGACATGGTATCACAGCATGTTCCAACACTAGTTTTGCAAACGCCTCTATCTGCAGGGGCAGGGTTGTAAGTAATCAAGAAAACTTTGGACGCATGTAGGAAAAACTTTCAAGGCTTGAGTAACCTCCATTGCTGCAGAACAGCTTTAAGTGTTGGTGCTTCACTTCTTGTTCCCTGAAAAGGGAAGTGGTAACATACTATACATATATGCACATACATGTTGTGTAGCAAGAGTGTGGGAAATACTTGCATGCCCTTGGGGTTAAAAAAAATAGTAGTACTTCAGACTTTATTTTTGACCAGTTATACTATGGTGTTTTTTATTATTCAGTCCCACAACACAAGATATGCCTCCTCAGATACCTTTACCCAAGGCCCTTTCACATAGGACATAGCATGCATTGCGCTGATCACTAGCTAGAGAGAATGATACATCATACAGCCATGTATACCAGCAATAATTTTGTAAATGACAAGCGTCACCAATCAGACTATATCACGTCAGACAGTTTTTTTTTTTAAAAAGAGTCAAAACTGAAAACCTGGAAACCAAAACTTTGTCAAATGTGGGGTTTTTTTGCAACATTCTTTCCACAAACTCAAGTTTTCAAACAGTTGCAACATCTTCCACACTGTGTCAGTAGCTTCTGTACTGCATTTTCATCAAAATGGTGGTAAAAAAAAATCGGCACAATTGTTCTCTCATGTCTTCAACCCAGCTGCGATGGCTGTGCGCAATGCGCCAAGTTACAAAAATCCAAAGGTGAATGACCAGCCGATGTACTGCCTTTAAATTGGTAAATTCAGGATGTGATCTCACAAATTGTCTTGCGACACCCGCAACACAAACAACACATCAAGCATAAAAACCCCATAAGGTCTCCCAGCAGCTCACAGAGGGAAAGCCACCAGTATCAACTGTCCATTAAATACTATGTGTTATAATCTCAGGATAATAATGCTCGAAGACTCAGGGTCCACAATCAGGACGTTTAATGACCACTTTCGGAGGCATCAACAGTTAGTCACAACACATACAGGAACATGTTTCCCACACAACATTCCGACAGGGAAAGCCCTGAAAAACCTCTGAAGGTTCCAGGGTGTAATGCCCCCAAACATACATTAACATCAACACTCTCTACAACACTATGGATCAGGTTAAATAGTTGTCATGGTATCTCAATGGCATAACGATACTGATATTATTGATAGTATTGTTATCAGTCTGGAGCATGGGTATATCATGGGTATATATGAATGTATTAGCATTACTTCTAGACTCATCACAGTGTTAGCCAGTGCAGAAGTTTAAAAATGTTTTGTTTATGACTGCCGATTTGATGTTGCTTTGTCATTCACACACAGGAAGCATTTACATGTACAAGGTGGTTCTCAAGCCAACTTAAATATTTAAAGGTTAAACAGAGTCACTCAACACTGGTCATGTTTGATTCAAAGAAACATGATACCGATATAATAGACTTAACATTGACTATTAACTGCAGCTACATTAAATAGTCATTTCTGTAAACTCAACCTAAACAAGAGGCAAGGGAGAACTACATCCCTAAAGCTTTACGTAAAGAGGTAATCTGACGATTTTATTCTCCTGTAGCTGCAGGAGAATAGAGGGTGCAGGAGGGATAGAAAGATATGTGAGTTAAACTGGCCTGACTTTACCAAGTCAAAAACTAGTCAACTTGAAATAAAAACAGAAGCACAAAAAACACTCACAGTGTGGGTAACACAGTGCTTCTAATCAAACCTAGAGAGAATATATTTGTCAATTTTCAGTACCCACCCCCCTGTACAGGACGGTGATTTTCTACTGGGTCTTACCCAGTAGATGATGCAGGGTTTAGCTGGAGCCAGTGTGGGTGAGGGGACTCGCCCAGCCTGACTGCACTGATGACCAGGTGTCTTCCCTGATTGCCCTGATATGAAGAAACCTGAGTACGCTTGCAGGTCAAACTGTATCATCTCCCCTCTTGATTGTGGTACTTGTTAACCTATAGCAGGGGTAGGCAACTCCAGGCCTCGAGTGCCGGTGTCCTGCAGGTTTTAGATCGCACCCTGGGTTAACACACCTGAATCAAATGATTAGTTCATTACCAGGCCTCTGGAGAACTTCAAGAAATGCTGAGGAGTCATTTAGCCCTTTAAATCAGCTGGGATGGATCACGGACACATCTAAAACCTCCAGGACACCGGCACTCGAGGCCTGGAGTTGCCTACCCCTGACCTATAGGATGCTTTTAGAAGCCTAGAGTGCAGCCTTCGAGGGCGTGTTACCTGGAAAGGCTAGAACAACCTACACAAGCTGTTTGGAGTAATAAGGATTAATACTCAGATTTATACCTTTATTTTCTTTTACAAAGGGTTAAGAGAAAATCTACAATTAAATTGACTCTAATTGTGAGAGATTTTATCAAAGCAACTTGGCACAAGCAAAGCAAAAGCACAAATTTTAAAAAATCGATTTTGTTCTTATATTTGGGAGGAGAGAGATTCGAGGAGATCTAAAGAAGCATTTATATGCATGCAGATGAAAACGACACATGTTGCACACAGCTAGGGCTCAGGGATAATCCAATTTATCTTATTATATTATTCTTTCTATGATTTAATCAGCTTTAGCGCATATTTATGTAAATTAGATCACAAATTGTTACATTTAGTTCAAAGTTAAAATGATATTCACAAACTGAGGCTGTATTCATCTGATCTTTATCTGAATTTTAGGTGTTTTTAAAAAAATATATATTTCACTGTTATTCTTATAGATGAAGCAGCTCAAACATCTTTCAGTGATTTTATTGGATGTCATGGCTGCAAAACATGTTACTGATTTAAAATCAAGTATTTGTGAAAGACTACATGAGAATAGTTGAACAGCTCACCATGAGACACTCCAAACATCATCAACAACAGTCCAACTACAGTTTCCATGTCTCCTCACTGTTGATCCAGTCAGCAGCTTTCAAACTTCAAAACCAAACGTGTGTGTTTTGCTCTGAACAGACTGCAGTGTGTCCTGTCAGCAATCGGCCTCAAAGGAGAATGTGTGAATGTGTTGGTGTCAGGTTTTACTGAAGTTCTGTTTATCTTTTCACACACTGAGAGGAAAAAAGGAAGTGACATCAGTTATTCTTCCACTTTTTAGCTTTCAAGCAAATAGACTTCATGTGTGAAGGACTGTGAGAAGGAGAACAAAACATTTGTCATGTATTCTAAAAGAAGCTCTGAGACGGAACTTAAGCTGACTTAGCTTTAGACGTGATGTTCATTGGTTTTTTGTTCCCTTTGTACAGAGATGAGCTATCAAGAAAGCAACTCGCTAGTACTGACTATGTGAAAAATTTAGAGTGATCACATTAGATGTAATAGTAATACATTTCAGACTTTTTACAGTGTTACTCAGTGCAGCAGTTTTCAAACTGTTTTGATTATTGTAACAGATTCATTCACACTGTACTGTTTTTTCACACTTGTCTAAACTTCATGCTTTTTCTTTATAATGTTCCTTTTCTCAAGCAAAGTTTCTCACACCATCTTCTTCTTCTTTGCTCAAGTAAGGTTAGACCACCCAACAATGGTCATAAACCTACAAAGCCGACAGAGGAAGACGTGTGTTAAACTGGCTTCTAAGTACAAATAAGCTGACATAAGATTCAACATTTGACAGTGCACATGTTACGATGTGGTGCTACATATATAAATCTGATCTGGATTGTATTTAAATTAATGAGATCTGTTTTTGTTTACAATTCAAGTCAAAAAATAGTGGAAATGAAAAATGAAAGGTTTTTTGGAGATTCAACTTAGAGAAAACTCTGGCTTCCAGTAGTGTCTTGAAAGGAGTGCATATGAATGTGAGTGGCTATTTATTTTTCATAGCAATGCTATTTAGGTCTTGAATGCAGGGCCGGGGAGTTTTAGCCTTTTTATCAACAAAGAAAAACCCAGGTGAAGAGTTAGGGATGTATTTCTCCACTGCCTCTTGTTTATGTGGCAAGAGGTTATAGAGATGACTGGTAGGTAACGTAGCTCTAGATAACAGCAAATGTTAATGTCAGTTAATGTGTAACAATGTGGCATCATGTTTCTTTAAATAAAGCATGATCAGTGTTGGGTGACATTGCTTAATATTCGTTACGCAAGCAAAAAAGAGGAAGATGGTGTGAGAAATTTAAGTTAGCTTGAGAAATGGAACTTTACAGAGAAAAAGCATGAGGTTTAGACCAGTGTGAAACAAGAGTGCAGTGTGAATGTATCTGTTTTACCACCTTGTAAATGCAAATCAGGTTCCTTTGTGTGGATCACAAAGCAAAATCAAATCAGCAAATTCATTTTTTCACACCAAAATGTTTTTTAAATAAAAACACAAGTTAAGACTTTGATGAGGCTACAAGTGATGCTAATAATCTGACCACAATTTCAAAGTTTTCAGATGCAAACAAGTCAGTACAAGAGAGATGATAAATTGTCAACATGTGATATCCCAAGGTCGCAGATTGATTACCGGTTGGCCGTGATCCCTACCTGCCTCAGGTACTCCAAGATCACAGCCACTCGCTGCACATGCACGCACAGGTGTCGCTTTGAATGATGTGTGTAGAAGAAGCATCCAGCCCATGAAGTGTTGGAGAGTTGCTTGGGGTCTGAGCAGAATGATCATGTCGGTTTTTACCTTCATTTTAATAATATTTCAGCATAGAAGCTCAGAGACATACAGATATACAGAGAGAGATGTTGGAACAGTTTAAAAACTTGAGCATTTGTAGAAAAAACTTGTAGAAAGTCTCGGCTTCTGGTTTTGACTTCTCCTCCTATACCAGCAGAATTGGCAAAAGTACAGACATTCAGTATTTAACCCTTTACAGCCGATCGGAGCGGGCACGCTCTGTTTTGCGTAACTATTTTTAAATCCCGGTAGCTCTGCAACCAAGTAAGCTAGCGCAATAATTTTTTTTGCATATGAAACTGGAGGAGTTGTACTTACATCTTACGCCATCAGCTTGTCCTCGGTCACAGTTTCCTTCCACATATAGCTTTGCAAAAACTGCATAAAAATCACTTGCAGCAACAAAACATGATATTCCAGAAACACGCTTCGCCGATCCATCAGCTGTTTGTAACACTTCCTACGTCCATCAGCGCGAACTATCACATGACCGCATGACCTGCCCGAAACCGGAAGTGACGTCATTTTGCGGAAATGTAGTTTTTTACGATCGAGGCCTTATGAGCTTGTGTTTTACTTGTTATGTGTTTTAAAAAGTTATGTTTGACTTTATGACTTTCTGTGTCGTTTCTGGGATGCTTAAGACTCATATTGCACTGCTGGAAATAGTTTATTTTGATGCATATGCTGTTATTTTGCAAATTTGCACTATAATATTTATTTTTGTTTTTCCTGCAGTATATAAAAATTGGTGTATTTCAAAAATAAAACTATGAAGACACTCAAAATAAATTTCCTGTGGTGGGAAACTAGTTTGTGTAACTTTTTTGTATTTACAGTTTTGAGGGATAAGCCTCTTAAATTTCTCTAACTAGAAATATATGTTAAAAAAACAAAAACGATTTTCAATTTTTTTGTAGTTTATTGCACTTTTTTGCAATTTATGTAATTACTATGCACCTAATGCAGACATATTATTAAAGTTTGGGCTATAATGGTTGTATTGATGTATAGCAACTTGAAATGCTCCCAAAAATGGCTCCACAGCATGTAAAAATATAATATAAGCTCTGGCGAACTTGGTTCTATGGTAGGTCTTAAAGGGTTAAGCAGAAATGCAGATACAAGTGTTGAAAAATTAGCTCTTTGGAGTATGTTTCTACCAGCTATTTTGGTACAAAGCTTACTGAACTTTTTGCTATATTAATGTAACAATCAAATAATATCAGTAGATGGCAGTAAAAACTTTATAATTACCACTGTCATTCCTGTTTAGGTTATTGATCCTAAATGTTGCATTGGTGAGAATAAAGAGAGATCTATGCTTTGTGATATTACGAAGAACTGTATTATTTATTATACTGACATCTAGTAGTCTATTTACTGAATTCCTGAACAGCATATTATAGTTCATCAGTTGGATGACCACAGTTCCTCCCAAAGCTCCAAAATCTGAGTCCCATTCTGTCTGCCATTACAGTAGGTTTCCACACCTGCATTTCCCAACCCCCTGAGCCATGGTCGCTCTGTAACCAGAAGGTCGCCGGTTCGATCCCTGGGCTCTCTGTCCTGGTCGTTGTGTCCTTGGGCAAGACACTTTACCCTACCGTCTACTGGTGTTGGCCAGAGGGGCCGATGGCGCGATATGGCAGCCTTGCTTCTGTCAGCCTGCCCCAGGGCAGCTGTGGCTACAACTGTAGCTTTCCTCCACCAGTGTGTGAATGCGAGAGTGAATGAATAGTGGTATTGTAAAGCGCTTTGAGTGCCTTGAAAAGCGCTATATAAATCCAATCCATTATTATTATTAAATAATGATAATCATCATCATCATCAAGTAAAGCAAAAATATCACCAGTGTGAGCGTTCGGTCTCTACTACTGTGGCAACATTTGCAAATGTTTAAATAAAACAGTGAGTGTCGTTTATAAAGAGCAAAAACAAGGTTAAATAAATACTTGAGTAAATGATTCATCTTCAGTTCAATTTTATAATGAATATTGTTATTTATATAGTTTAATCAGCTCAACTGTAATAACTGCATTTATTTTAGGTGCATATGTATGTAAATTAGATCATAACATTTGATGTTATTATTATTACAAGACACCAAACAATGTCATTAAAAACAACATTCAAATTATATTCACAAACTGAGACTGTATTCAGCTGATCTTTCTCCAAACTATTATTTTTTCAGTGCCTCATTGTTTCAAATGCTTCATCAATAAGAATATTATCAGACTTATTTCGCTGATTGTACTGGATCCTGTGGCTGCAAAACATGTTTTTGATTTTAAAATGAAGTATTAATGCAGGAAAAGTTGAACAGCTCACCATGAGAAACTCCATACATCATCAACAACAGTCCAACTACAGCTTCCATGTTTTCTCACTGCTGATTCAAGCAGCAGCTGTCAGACCTTTACTCTCAAAAACAAATGTATGTTTTACTCTGAACAGACTGCAGTGGTAATGTTCAAATAATTTTATCATCCAAGTGTTTTCAGTGTGGGAGAAAGTACTCAGGGCCTTCAAGTTACACACTATGAAAGGCAGCAACAAGTGTAATATTCAGAAACTTAAAGTATGTATCAGCAGCAGAATGGACCTAAAAATAAATGTCCATGTTTGTTTGAGTTCTATGAAGCTTTGAGTATTTTGGATTAGTAGCACTGCTGTGTTTGTTGCATCATATTGCTGTAATTGTTTATATGCTTTATATATTCTGAGGTAAGTTGATCTATAGTGTTACATCATATTCTATAAGGATGTTCTGTGTTTGTATACTTTCTGCCCAGTTTGACCCATTTAGCAGATGTCAGCCTGTTTAAGGCTCTGATATCTATTCTGTATGACTTAAAGCAGTTATGACATGGTCTGATTTTCACACCCAATAAAGGAATATTTCATATATCAGTCTACTCTTCATTTTATCAGAAACAGTTATCACAGCTCGTACATTTTCTTTTTACACATATATGTAAACATTGAGCCAAATTTAGTAATGCCAACATAATAACTATATAAATATAAATAACTGCAACTTTACTGAAGCTAGAGTTCACTGCTGTAATAACTAATAATGATTAATATAATAATAACTGTAATATTGGCCATATTATATTTACATTACCAAAGTGAGATGACTTTAGCTTCATTAACAAAATTAGCTGATTGTTATTTATTGGCTAATCTTAAAATGACTGTTCAGTACAGAAATTAAGCCCAACAATCATGTCTCAGCCTCGGATACTTTTCAAACAAAGCTCATACAAACAGATGAACAAAAACATTTTCTCCTTCATTTCTGTCAAACAATGCTGTATGAAACATTTCCAGCGGTGAGTATCATGGTTGCCATTTCACAAGCCTCGCACTTTTGGCCCTCTCGGCCTTTGACGTACATAGACCGCGAAGGCCGTGTCCTCCAAGGATGCAGACCCTGAATTTGGACACGCCATGTCTCCCCAGTCTCTGTCTTGAGGTCAGTCGGTGTGTTTCCTGTTTTACATTGAAGGTCTTTGTCTTATGTCAGTGTATTCTGTTTTGCTTCCTCCCAGTCTCATTTCATCTGATTAGTGTCAGCTGTGTTCCCTGCCCGTTTCCCCATGTTTCCTGTTCCTTGCCTCAGCTCACCGTCCTCAGGTTAATTTGTTATTTCTAGCTTTTCTCAGTATAGGTTCTGTTAGCTTTGTTTTGTTTGTTTATCACCAACTGTAAGTAAAAGCTCACTCTCAGAAAAGTCAGTGCCTGTACTTGGGTCCTTACTTACCTCTCTACATGACCTGATCATGACCGTGACAATGTTACTGTCAAGGTTGGTTAGGTGAAGGACTTAATTGCAAGACTAAAAGCTGGTTGAAAGTAAAAGGGGGTTTATTTACAGAGGAAAACCAGGTGAAATATATACATATAAACAGTACAGCAGGGGAAGAGGGGCTCCGGGGAAACCAGGAGAGCATGAGGGTGGGAATGGATGTTTGTGTCTGTGTGTGCCTGTATGTCTGTGTCTATATGTCAGGTTGGGTATCAGACGCCACCTCTCTGGGGACACCTCAGGCCCTCCAAGGTTTGGAGGCCTATCTCCACCCACCACCACTTCCCCTGCCGGTGGCGGACTCCTCAGGTGTCGGTGTGTTGGTGGTTCTTTGTGTCTGGGGGTGGGCGTCCGGGTACACACCGGCTCACTCCTTGGCGGCCGCTTGTCGGGGCCTGGGGCCTGGGGCTCGCTCGGGCCCCTTTGGAGGTGGGGTGCCCCCGGCCTCTCGGCCTAGGGCTCGGTCACTCAGGCGCGGCTGGGGGCCGGCGGAGCTCACGGGCGCGTCACTGCAACCCCCCCTGGCTTCTGCTCCGCGGCTGCTGAGTGAGCCCTCATCTGGGACTCTCCTCAGCTCTTACTGGAACAGTGGCGCGGCTGCCCCTCTGTTGGTCTTCCATGGTCTCTTGTGTTCTGGGGGCCTCTGGATGTCTGGAGTTTTGATCTCCTCCATACCCGCTTCACACCCTGGAGGACGGGGCTGTGGCCCCCCCACACTCCCTAGCAGATCATTACATGGAGAAACCTTTGGAATGCAAGCATGCTGATCCACACAGGTATGCACACATGGGTATTCACAGACGCGGACTAAAGCTTTCTTGGCTGCTGCCTCAAAGCACACTGTGCGCTGTCTATCTTGCGTGCTGCACAATATCGTTTATTACTTAGTAAATACTGATATCTATGACTAGCTAGTTTATTGTGATGGTGCTTTGTTTTCTCTATTATTATGTTGCTCTTTGTTGTTTGCTGTCTCCTCTGTTTGTTTGTTTGTTTGTTTGTTTGTTTGTTTGTTTGTTTGTTTGTTTGTTTGTTTGTTTGTTTGTTTGTTTGTTTTTTTCTCCATACAGGTGACCCAGGAGTTTTTTTTTTTTTGTTTTTGTTTTGTTTTTGTTTTTTTTTGTCTCTCTTCCCCCCCTTCTCACCGTCTCTTCTCCCCTTGGGTTTTCTTTCTTTCTCTCCCCCTCTCTCTCTCATTCATTCCCTCTGTCCTATTTATTAAAAAAATAAAAAATAAAAAAAAAAATGACAAAGGATGAACTGAAGCTCTGCCATCACGTAATGTCGCATACTGCTGTTTCTGATGTCATTTAAAAAAAAAAAAAAGAAAAAAAGAAAAAAAAAAAAAAAAAAAAAAAGAAGAGGGGCTCCGGGGAAACCAGGGGAGAATGTCCAGTGCAGGGAAATATCACACTCCTCTTTGCATTGTCTGTGACTACAAGCACTCCATATATATATATATATATATATATATATATATATATATATATATATATATATATTAGGGGTGCAACGATACACAAAATTCACGGTT